CTCTCCCAGGCGGCCGAGGGGTCGGCCGCAAGAAAAGGGGAGGAATAAAACCCCCCCAGGGTCTCCTGGCCAGCGACTCCAGGGTTCAGGAAGGTCTCGCCAGGGATATCGGACCCTACGAGACCTAGCAGTGCGGTGGCGTCGGAAGCGACAGCGACCGAGCATATGCCTGATCTGGGTAACCGGGCATTCTGTATCCTTGAAGGGTACGGAGGCCGGATTCAGGTAGTGGAGCAGGGGTTTGAATGGGTCGGAGAGGAGACCATCAGACCCAAAAGCTCCAGGAGACCACCTGACGCTCCGGAGGATGCGCCGGCGACCCAGACACCTGCGGAAGAGAGCACGTCGATGCGAGTAGCGGCTGCCCAGGGCAAGAAGAGCCGTGAAAGCCTCCCGTCCACAGAGGGGAGAGAGACGGCGAAAGCTCCCCGCAGGTATAGACCCGAGGACGAGACCCGATGGTGGCTTCAGGTGGGGATAGGTGCCTACAAGTTAAGGGCACTCTACGACACCGGGGCCTCATCAACGGTAATGGGTCAACTCGGGCTTAGGTTGGCATCAGACATGGGGCTGGGCCTGGACGTCACGCGAGCGGGAGAAGCGAAGCTCGCTGACGGTCGCCCATGTCCCATCTTGGGTCATGTGATTTTCCCCTTCACAGTAGGGGGAATCACAAAAGATGTAAGGGTCGCTATAACGCCACTGCTGTCTGATGACTGCTACGTCGGCGCGAATTTCGTGAGGGAATTCAGCGCCAACCTGAACCCTGACACGGACCAGCTGTACTTGGCGAAAGCCAAAGTGGCGGTACCGTTGGAAGTGGCAAGCGTCACTGGTACGTCGTGCCTCGCACCTGTAGGCCTGGTAAAAGCCACGGAAGCACAGCGTCAAGAAGTGGCTAGCCTCGTCGATGGATTAATTCCAGACGGAGGCGAGTGTTTAGGCTGTGCTGTGGGGGTCGAGCATGAGATAGACATCGGAGACGCTCGACCCTGTAAACAGAAATACTACCCGGTCTCCGACAGGGTGCGAGACGAAATGCACACGCTGGTCAAGGCCATGCTGGACAATGACGTCATTGAGCCAGCAACCAGCGGGTGGTCAAGTCCAGTGGTGATGGTTAAGAAGGCAGACGGCAAATACCGGTTCTGCGTGAATTACCAGAAGGTAAACGCAGTAACCAAGCCGGACGCCTACCCATTACCCTTCATGAGCGACATCCTGCGAAGGATCAGGGATGCGAAGTTCATCTCGACACTGGACTTGAGTAGCGCGTACCACCAGATACCTCTTAAGAAGGAGTCGCGCCCCATTACGGCGTTCACAGTCCCTGGCCTGGGGCATTTTCAGTTCAAGAGAATGCCCTTCGGATTGTCCTACGCCGGCGCGACTTTCCAGAGGTTGATGGACAGAGTGATTGGCCCGGATTTAGATCCTTTCGCTTTTGCGTACCTTGACGACGTGATTATTATCTCGCCGTCCTTTGAGGAGCATAAGCGACACCTGGGATTGGTTTTACAACGAATCCTGGGTGCGGGCCTCACTGTGAATAAGACCAAAAGCCACTTCTGTAAGTCGGAAGTCAAGTACCTGGGGGTCCTAGTGAACCGTGAAGGGGTAAGGCCAGATCCAGAGAAGATCAAGCCCATTATGGAGTACCCAGTACCACGGACTATCAGACAGGTGAAGCGATTCATGGGGATGATGTCGTGGTATCGTCGCTTCATACCCGACTTCGCAACGATCGCTGAGCCGATAAACCGCCTGACGAAGAAGAGCATCCCGTTTGCGTGGCAGCAGGAACAAGAGCAGGCTTTCGAACGGTTACGAGACGCAATGGTCTCGGCACCGATCTTGCAGTCGCCAGATCCCAGCGCGCAGTTCGTGTTACAAACGGACGCGAGCGATAGTGGGATAGGCGCGGTATTGACGCAAGAAGTCGATGGACAGGAGCGCGTAATTGAGTACGCCAGTCGCTCCTTAAACAGTGCGGAAAGGAATTATACAGTCTCCGAACGAGAGTGCCTGGCAGTAGTATGGGCTATCGGGAAGTTCCGGCCCTATGTTGAGGGGCACCACTTCAAAGTCATCACCGATCATAGTTGCCTTAAGTGGCTCCACAGTATGAGGAATCCTACAGGAAGGCTAGCGCGTTGGGCGTTAGCACTACAAGGCCATGTGTTCGATATCGAGTATCGAAAAGGAGACCTCAACGTGGTGCCAGACGCTTTATCTAGGGCCTATGAGGAGGGGGTGGTAGAAGTGGGAGCCATGACTCATCAGCCGGAAACTGCCGACGCCTGGTACCTTCAAAAGTATCGAGAGGTATGCCAGGATCCACATTCTCAACCTACCTGGAAGGTGGTCGGAGGGAGATTGTATCACTACAATCCGACTGAGGGGAGCGAAGGGTCCATCGACAACGAGGAAGCCTGGAAGCTAGTGGTTCCTGCCGAGAAGAGGCATCAAGTACTCGAGGAGGTACACGATGCGCCAGCAGCGGGACACCAGGGGAGAGAACGAACGTTCTCCCGGGCTAGGCACCTGTATTTCTGGCCAAAGATGTACGATCAGGTCAGAGAGTACGTGAGGAGTTGCCCGGTATGTCAGCAATGCAAGGCGGAACAAAGGCCGCCTTGCGGGCTGATGGGTCGTCGAGAGGTCTCGCGACCCTGGCAGGTGGTGGCCAGTGACATTACTGGCCCCTTCCCGAAGAGCTCGAGAGGGTTCGAATACATTTTAGTCTTTTTAGACCTGTTCACTCGGTGGGTGGAGTGCGTACCCGTACGTAAGGCCAATGGAAGGACCATCGTGCGGGAATTGCACGAGAGGGTGGTAACCAGGTTTGGGGCGCCAGAGATATTTCTTTCGGACAATGGGACCGAATTTAAAAATCAAGAGGTCGATGCCTACCTGTCGAGGAACGGCATCCAACGCGCCCTGACCCCAGTTTACCACCCACAGGCAAACCCCACAGAGCGAGTGAACAAAACCCTCAAGGCCATGCTCATATCGTACGTGGAGCGGGACCATAAGAGCTGGGACGAGCACCTGCCAGAGTTCAACTTTGCGTTGAACTCGGCAACTCACAGCGCGACAGGTTACAGCCCGGCCATGTTGGTCTTCGGTAGACAGCCCACTCCCCCCTCGACCTTTAGGAGGACCCAGGATCAGTTAGCTCGGGAAGCTTCCGAGGGCCAAGAACTGACCGAATGGGGCGAGCACATGCACCAGTTACCCAATTTGTGGGAACGCGCTGGCGCTAAGTCCAGGGAGGAGGCGGCCCGTCAGGCGGTCTATTACAACCGGAGGAGACGTCAGGCCGACTTTAGGGTTGGGGACTGGGTGTGGAAGCGGAACCGCATCTTGTCTTCCGCAGCTCAGGGCGTTTCGGCGAAGTTGGCGCCGAAGTATGCTGGCCCCTACGTAATTCAGGAAGTATGTGGGACGAATACCTATCGCCTAGGTAACCAGCAGGAAGAGTTGCCCGAGCTGATCCACGCCAAGGACCTCAAGCCCTATTTCGGTCCATTCTCGGATGAGGACAACGAGGAACCAGGAGGCGGGGACTCAACACCGTTGGAGGAAGAGGAGGGCGTAGGCGACCCGCCAGCGAAAATCGAGGAATCCAGCGAGGATCCGATATGCGAGCGCGTCGCGAATGCAGCCCCCGCGAACGAGCGTGAGAAACCCGCGGCGGCTCCAGAGGTACCGATCGAGGCGCCGGCTAAGCGAGGCCGAGGTAGGCCGCGCAAGAACCCCGCGTGCGAACCTCGGGAACCAGGTGGAGACGACCTGGATGGCAATGCGGACAGGGGAAGGGGCAGACCACGTCGAACCGCTCAGCGCGTGCGGAAGGTGGTACTGCCAGCTACCCCCGCAAATGGGCCATGTTCGCGAGGAAAGCGCCGGGGACCGGGGCGCCCTCGTAAACAATAGCGTCGAGCGTCACACGGCGACGGGTAGGTTAAGGGCTGAGCCTGAGAAATCCCTTAACCCCACTTCTTCTCTTTTACAGATGGAGAGGAAGCTGGTCATCAGTGAAGAGGCCCTGGCCTCTGATCGGCTGATCGGCGACCTCCGTAGGTTCGTCCGGGCCCAGGTCGAGGTGGCCGCTCGCGAGGGCCGCTCGCGCCAGCGGGTGGACGACTTCCTCCGGGAAGGTATAAGGGCCCAAACATCCAAGCCCTCGACCCGGGAAGCGTCCACCCAGACCGACGGCCCGTCCGAAGAGGGTCGTCGGTCTCAGTCCACGCAGGACCAGGGTGTGCAGGCCCAAGGGTCGAGCGCAGCAATGACGGAGAGCTCGACCCAGTGCCCCGGGCCAAGGGAGGCCTGCGGCCAGCAACAGTGGGTCTGCAACCACCCACGGGTCCCCCAGCAAGATGGGCTTGTAAACTCCTGGAGGCACGTGAGGTTGGGCATGTAAAAAAATAAATCAATATATGTTATAGTATATTTTTACCTCATTAATATTTTCGTCACACACATTTTCGCTTTTTGTTCCTTGCTCTAAAATATGATCATGCTCCAAAACTCCAAAACTTTACGTGGCAAACACGCTAAAGATAAAAGATGGCGAATGACGACGTTTCCTTACGACGCGAATTGCGATAGCACCTTTATGGAGCTGCGCATGCGCGGTGCAAAAATCGCGCAGCCTATAAGCATCGTATATAAATAAATGAATAAATAAATAAATTATTAAGTATTTAAAAATGTCATTAGCTGGGCAAATTAAATCGGCTGAGGGGCAATTTTTTAGTACTTCAGGAAGTTAAAAATATTGAATGATAAGTAAGATATTGAAGTTTGAAGTCGCAGATGGTAAACTGATTATTATTAATTTATTACGGTGAAACTAGAGTTGAGCAAAAAAATCTACGGACATAATCGAATTGGGCAATTAAAAATCTATCGGCTTGTATATTTTAATTTTATTTTACAGTAATTATGCAGGCCGGAACGGGTGGGGGGGGGGGGGGGGGTTCAAAACGTCAGTTGATATGTACAGTCACAAACATGGCATGAGGTACTTGTTCCTGTAAATATTTAGAGTTTTTGTTTTCAAGAGGTTAATTCAAGGATATTCTGCATTGGCTAGTTCGCTAAGGTATACGTTGTAAATGTTACGTTCTTAAGCATTCAATAAAAAAACACATGGATATATATATAATTAATTTCAATATTACGTGTGTTATTACCACTCGAGTAAAATATTTAAAAATTGTATAGTGTTTTTCTATTAATCTGTGGCTTCCTGATTAATTAATAAAACTGATTATCATTACTATTCTTCTATCTTAGTTTTTATATTTCTGTACTGTCTATTGATTCATATATTTATTTTACTTTATTGATCTGTTACTAATATATGAGAGGTACAACATCATAGTAATTTTAAAATACTTTCTGAGTAATTATTACAGTTAAATTAAGAAAATTAAAAAATTACTAAGATTTTATTAAACTATAATTCCTAATAATTTATTAAAGTATCTTTCTAATTCTTGGAATATTTTTAAATAATGATTTTTTAAGTTCATTCAATAAATGTTCACATCTAATATTAATTTTAATACGTATTTTAAATGGTTAATAGTTCTATATTATATTAACAATGTTCATTAAAAACAACAGGTATCCAATCAAGTATACTCCTTTCAATTCAATCTAATACAATAAGGTTTAAAATCTGAAAACCAATTATTATTACACATTATTGATTTCACATTATTAATTAAACAATAATCACCCTTATAAGGTTAATGGATGATATTGTATGCATATATGTACACACACACACACACACACGCACAACTTTTTGAAAACATATTTTATAACTAAAATATGTTTAGTTTCAGATTTGCTGAGTTAATGAAAATACTTGTTAAGAAGTTATGTAGAACTTATCTAGATTCTTGTATTAATTTTTTATTGATAATTTTACATGGATACTTGTAAGTAAATTTAAACAGAATATCAATGTATCATTTACTGAAAATTCATGGAAATATCGGCTTATTCATTCTTTTATCCTGAAATAATAATAAATTTCCTAGTATTATATGTATATTTATACATCATTATCTAAAAATTTAGTAATTTAATAGACATAAATTATCATAAAAATTTTGTTACAATTTTGAACTATTTCATTGTCTGAAAAATAAATTTATAAATTATTAATAAATTTGATGTTCAAATATGTAAATATCTATTTATTTATATATTTATTAAGGCTAAAAATGAATCAATATGAAAAAATTATTGCTGTATGTTAATTAGTTATACGATAGCCATATTTAACTACTAGATTATGTCAGAAAAAATACTTGATTCTTGCAAGGTATAGATATAATGATAAAATTACATAGAATTAAATGTTTGTTCTGTTAAAAGCAATACACATTCCAGGCCGATTCCATCTCCATACAGAGCTCCATGAGTACTTGTTACCGAATGAATTTGAAGTTTTTTTATATTATTTGAAATGAAAAATAAGGAGACCTGTTTTTCTTTTCATCTTAAAATACGTAATTGCATTATACATACATTTTCAAAATTCAATGCAAAATGAAAAAAGTTAAAAAAAAATTTGTTTAACTGACTTTCGATGACGTACATTTTATTTATTTTTAGATATAATTTAATGAATCCTATTTCTTATGGTCTAGTAAATGAAAGCTTTTACAACTACATTACTAAAAATATGTAAAAGTGCATTTCCGGGAGAAAAAATACATTTTTCCGAAAAAGTGCATCTTTTAAAAATATGAAAAAATATATTTTTTTTGCGGTAAATTTTTTTTGTAGATTCTTTGCCCAATATATTCAAGTACGTATTTATGAAATTCTCGGTCTTTGGTTTTTTCGGCGAATAAAAAATATTTAAAAAAAAATTATTTTTCATTTTTGGTCTGAAACATACGAGCATTTATACAGTTGTACAATGAGTAAATTAAGTGACCTATAGCAATAAAATATTTAGATGTTTACTACTTAGCCTGTGTTGATTTTCGTGGAAATTATTACAGTGATGTAATATGTTTATGTACGCTATCATTGATACCTTCCAGTGATATTATATGTTTGTGTACACTATCAATGATCCCTGTGTAAATATTCGTTGTATATATCTAGAAATTACGGTTAATTTACGTCTCTTAACTTATCAGCATGTCAGGCATCGATATTTATTCAACAATGCGAATGAAATATCTAGATTATTTTGGAGTCCACAAAAAATGTGTGTATAATAACGGAAAACTGAATTTTCAGAAAGTTGGAGATTATGCAGGCTTTCTGCAATCAAAGTTCTCTGACAAGAAATTTCTCAAATTATTCATAATTCTAACTCCTTCATTAATGAAATTTAAAATTATGACGATTTTTCCGCAAACGACTATTTACATGATTGATAAAACAAGAAAGATTGTTTCAAATAAAGGTAATATTTTCAAAATATAATGTTAAAATTATATTCTTAACTATCTCGTTAATTTATTATAGGCATTATTCTATTACTATGAATTATAGGTATTTAGTGTGAACCAGATAAACGTAATGAGCATCCATTGGGAAAAAAAACGACAGAAATAGTTATGCAGTATTTTTTGAATGATGACTTTAACTGCTCGAGACAAAGTCCGAATAAATTAGACGTGATTACTATGACTGAAATCGGCGTAAAAGTTAAAAAGGTCACACGTTTCTTGACAAGAAGTATGAAAAAAGTGTATCAAATTTTGAAAGAAGAAAGTTCTAGAATAAAAATTAGTAAATCAAAATTCTACTCTATGCGTCCAAAGTTTGTCCTGATTAATCCATTCAATGATGTGTGCTTGTGTATTAATTGTACCAATTTTGAATTATTCTTGATTGGTTTGAAAAATTTTATCGGTCGAAATGCTGTTGACCTTCAAGTATACGTTCTAAAATTTTATCATCTGTACTATCACGGTGGGTCTGAGCGACATTTAAATAAAAGTGAAAGCAGGTTCCAATTTTTTTGCAAATTTCGGTAAAAATACTAATAATTAGAAGATCCCAGAAAGAATTAAAAAAAATCCCTGAGCCCTTTTTGAAAAAATCGATTTTTAAAAATTTTTATCAAACAAAAAAAATAAAAAAATAATTTTGGTTGTGGTTGATGGTATTAATAAATAAATCAATATTTTTTCGATATTTCCACAGATGCACATTTAATAATAAAAAATTCAACACCAGCATTTTAAAAATTAATTTTTTTTTATTTATTGACTGTTTTTATTAATTTTTATCTCTCTATTCTCCCATACACAATCATATTAATGGAGAAACACATGTACTCGTATATTTAAATATCAGTGTTTATTAATAGTATACATACGATAAGGATATAGCAGTATTGTAAACATGTGTGTTTACAGCGCGCACCTGTATCTAAGGAAGTAGTAGCAAAAAGTAGTAGCTAAAAAGAAGGCTAAACTGAAAAAAATTTGTGAAAAGTTTCTCGAGAAATTGGAGAATTTAGTGAGTTACAACATTGAAGATGATTGGTTACCGAATGCTGTGTGTAGTACTAGCCTTCTTTTTCTGACAAACCAAACAAATTTTCGAACGATTCTCAGAGTGCGTTAGTGCACGTCGCTTCATGTTGCTAATTCAATTATTTTGAAGAAACACAGAACGTTAACTACAACAAAATTCTTATTGTATTTCTTATCACGAGAACACTATTACTGGCAGATTTCATTGTTGATCGTTCAATCAAGCTGAGACAACTGTGAAAACTTTTGAGCACGCTATTCTAGCTACTACTTCCTTAGATACAGGTGCGCGCTGTAAACACACATGTTTACAATACTGCTATGTCCTTATCGTATGTATACTATTAATAAACACTGATATTTATATATACATGTGTTTCTCCATTAATATGATTGTGTATGGGAGAATAGAGAGATAAAAATTAGTAAAAACAGTCAATAAATAAAAAAAAATTAATTTTTAAAATGCTGGTGTTGAATTTTTTATTATTAAATGTGCATCTGTGGAAATATCGAAAAAATATTGATTTATTTATTAATACCATCAACCACAACCAAAATTATTTTTTTATTTTTTTTGTTTGATAAAAACTTTTAAAAATCGATTTTTTCATAAAGGGCTCACGGATTTTTTTAAATTCTTTCTGGGATCTTCTAATTATTAGTATTTTTACCGAAATATGCAAAAAATTGGAACCTGCTTTCACTTTTATTTAAATGTCGCTCAGACCCACCGTGCTATGCTCCTTACCAATATAGGCATGTTACTTTCAAGAATGCAAATTATGCCCTGACTTTAAGAACATTTCTTTTGAAATATTAGGAATCGATGAATTACAGTTTGAAAAAGATATAACTTTCGCACTTTGGAACAAACGTAATTTGGAATCTAAAACCTTACCTGTTTGTACTTTCAAAAACGCGATTGCAAATTACACTGTTACTGTTACATCATATTTTAGAATTGAAGAAGTGTAATAAAGCCGAATAAAAGCTGAAAAAGAAAGTATCAAAACAAATTGCCGACATTTAGTGTTGCACATCGGTTTTTTAGAAAATTGGTCAGTGATATTAAAAAATGCAGTACACGGCAATCATTCGGTACATAAGCAAATTTTTAGTTTTACTGTTGTGTGCTATATAAGTAACGTCACAAAAAGCTTGACAGTAATTAGCAAAAATTTATGAAACACAATTATTCTCATGCTTTATTAACAATGAAAAAAATCTTTGATGGACTAATTAATCTACTACGTATTAATTATACTTTCATTGATGCAATAACTTTAATATCTCTTGGCGCTGCAAGTAATTCCAAAATACATCAATACTAAAAATCAACTATTAATAAAAGATGGGTATTGTTTGCTTCTGGTCATGGCAAAGGTGCTGTTGACGTTGTAGAAGGTTTGGTACAGGATTACGCAGCAACGCATAATTTACGCAATATAGAAATTGACGCTATAAAAACTTTTGAAAGTTTTGTTAACGAACTTAAGAAATATACAACATCAATTAGGATTATTTATATGAAAAAAAAGTCGAAAAGTTTCGCAATAGTAAAATGGAAGAAAGAAATATATGTAACAAAGTTCAAGGTATTCAATAATACGCATGTGGAAGAGTGTGATTTCCGTAGGATAAACTACATGCTTCACAGTCAGAACTACTGCATACCTTTGGGTATAAGTTGAAGACAATAAAAAAAATCTCAAAAGCAACGAAAATCGATAAGCAAATCTGTAAAGAAATGTAACCAAATTAAGAAGAGCTGAGGAGAATTGTAAACAGAGTAAAAAAAACAAAGAAATCTAAAACTCGATAGTTTTTATGACCTAATAAATATATCCAACGAAAATTTTATGCGCTTTTTTTCCAAACATACTAGTCATCATAAATGCATGTGTTATTGTGTACATTCATACCGAAAAAAAATTTTTTCAATATTTTTTATCAGACGAAAAAAGTGAAAACCGATAATTTTATAACTACGTACTTACAGATATTGATTAAACGAATCTATGAAAAAATTCACTGCAAAAAATATGGCATTTTTAAGGAAAAAAAATTTTCTTAAATATGCACTTTTTCGGAAAACTGCATTTTTTCTCTTATTTTTCATTTACAATAATATAAAAATACTCCAATTTATTCAGTAACAGGTACCCATAGAGCTTTCCATGAATCGAGATGGAATCGACCCCCACTGGAAATACACTCTTGATCAAAATTTTTTGCCAATCCAAACACAAAATTACTAAAATTTTTAAGTTTTATATCTCAGTTAAAAATCAACTTGCAGAGCTCAGCGGGAGCTGATTTAAAAGGTCATTCTAAATTCTTTCGTAATACGTATTTAAACATTACTTTAAATAATTTTATTTTAACGGTATCATAAAAAAAGAATTATCAAAAATCTTTGCTCATCTTTATGTACTTGCCGTTTTGCAAAAAAAAATCATAGAAAAAATAAAACAAAAACATTTCGTAGCTTTTTTGAAATACTTTTGAAATTGATGCTACAAAATTTCGTTTTATTCAAATTCAACGATTTTATAATAATTTTTTTCCAAAACCACATTAAAATTCAACTCTGTATCTTTCAATATGCCAATGATAATAAGGTTTACGAGGTCTGTCTGGAAAGTATCGGGCCTACCTTTATATTTTCGTGCTAGCGTTATTCTTTATCATCTTGTGGGTGGCATCCTTCAAAGTAATCCCCACTTGATTGAATAACACGGTTCCATCGATGTTTCCACTTTTCAAAACAGTCCTGAAACTCACTTTTAGGAATAGTCTAAAGTACACTCGTCGCATTGTTTTCAACCGTTGTTTTGTCATCGAATCGGTGTCCTTTGAGTGGTTTTTTTAGTTTTGGAAACAGCCAAAATTCACAAGGGGCTATGTAGGGACTGTATGGAAGTTGTCGAAGCAATGCGATATTGTGTTTGCTCAAAAACTGCTGCACAAGATTGGATGAATAAGCTGGCGCATTATCGTGATGGAGAAGCCAGTCACCACTTTCTCAAAAGTGCGGCCGTTTTCTTCTTACTGCATCACGCAAATGTTTTAAAATTTGAACGTAGTATTCTTTATTGATTGTCTGACCTGTTGGTGCATACTCGTGATGTACAACACCTTCACAATCGAAAAAAACAATCAACATTAACTTAATATTGCTCCGACTTTGACGTGCTTTTTTTGGTCTTGGTGATTCAGAATGCTTCCACTGTGAAGATTGTTGTTTTATTTCAGGATCATAACCATAAACCCATGATTCATCAGCTGTAATAACTTTTCTAAGCACATTATCATCATTATTGACCATTTCCAGATTGTCCAGAGCGATTTCTAAGTGAATGTTCGTCTACTCTGCTGTGAGCAATTTTGGGATGAATTTTGCACACACGTGTTTCATTCCTAAATTTTCGGTTAAATTTCGTTTTAACCGTTTTTGGTATCCCAAGGTCTTCTTCTAGTTCTCGCACAGTCATACGACGATCTTGTTCGACTGCAAGTCGCACCCGCTCAATATTATCTGCGGTTTTTGTCGTCGATGGTTGGCCGAAACGAAAATCACTATCGACAGAAGTGCAACCATCCTTGAACCGTTTATACCACTCTTTTATTCGTGTTTTGCTCATACACTCGCTTCCGAAGGCCTTTTGCATCATTCCAATAGTTTCCGAACTCGTTTTTCCGAGTTGAAAGCAAAATTTGATGCAAATTCGTTGATCTTGTTTTTCAGTCATTTTTGACAATATCAAAATCCGAAGAACGCGAAAAAGGCACTGTAAACAAAGACACGCTGCGCATGAACTATACGTCCGGCAGGTGTCAGTAAGTAACCAATAGATTCGTGAGGCTTTACTGTTGACGTTTCTGTCCGGTAGAGGTCGCTCGAACACTATGGCGCGAAGATATAAACGTAGGCCCGATACTTTCCGGACAGATCTCGTATTTTGTACAGAATACAAACTATCCATACATGACTTATGTTCATAGGTAGCATTAGGGCAATTCTTGGCTATTTCAAACAGTTCAAAACTTCAAATCACCATTTTTGTTCAAAGTTGGTAGACTTGTTATCTATACAGAGGTCAACATCTGTGCAGAGTTTTAGATCAAAATATTGATAAGGGGCCGACTTATCAAATGTTGAAAAAATATTGGACTTTTTTTATTAATTCGATTTCTCGGAGACTAATAAAGATATGGACATGATTCTTTTTTTAAAAGACGCAGAAAGAGTTTCACTTTTAAAATTTAAATAATAAAATACCAAATCATTTATTTATACCATTGTTATAAACAATTTTTTCAAAAAATCGAAGATATCTCAAAAAACGATATTTTTTTTTTAATTTTTGTACCATCGTGTTCCTTGTCAGTTTTTACATAAGAAACCGTTGAGGAAATCGAGTGCCCGCTATTAGGATTAAGATGGCACTAAAATGAAACGAACCGCGCGCTAGCCGCTCGACCGTCTGCTACTCGTGCGGTTCCAACGTTGCTTGCTGCAATTGCCTTTTTTAAAGAATAAATAATTTCATATTCTAACAGTCTATAAGTATTTATTTAAATAATATATAAATGTATTAATTAAGTAAGTAATGTTAATGAACTATTTTTTTATACAATCTGATATAATATTGAAATTAAATATTTGCTCTCTGCGTTCGAGCGGGCTTGAGACAGACGCATATTTAGGATGCGGCCGCATTAAAAATGTTTTTTTATCGGACCTACACCATAATACTCTTAATAAGTTATTTACAAGTAATTTTACAAAAAAAAACCCTTTCAGTTATGCGTCTTATTTCAAATTCAGAAGAGTATGAAGTTTTGTTTACTTTAATTTCCGTTGTATACAAAAATAAGTTGTATCAAAAATACATTTCAAAATACTGTAAAAAAAATTATTTATGTTAGTGACGGTGCCGGAAGCCAGTATAAAAATTTTCTAAACTTAGTTCGACATTACAGCATTTATTCTATTAGAGCAGAGTGGCATTTTTTTGCAAATTGTCATCGTAAAAGTCCGTGTAATGGAATTGGTGGAGGTATAAAAAGATTAGCTCGACGAGAAAGCTTGCTCGGTAAAATCATAAGTAATTCTGCGGAATTTTACAAATGGGCGAAGCTAGCTATGCCTAAAATAACGTTTATTTACTGTAGTCAAGAAGAATATGAAATTTTTGAAAGTAGCATGTATAGTCAATTAAAAGATGCTCTTACTATGCAAGGAACACAATCACTGCATGCATTCATTCCAGTTAGTGATGACAATACAACGGAAATTAAAGTAAGAAAAACTTCATACTCTTCTGAATTTGAAATAAGACGCATAATTTAAAGGTTTTTTTTGTAAAATTACTTGTAAATAACTTATTAATAGTATTATGGTGTAGGTTCGACAAAAAAACATTTTTAATGCGGCCGCATCCTAAATATGCATCGGTCTCAAGCCCATTCAAACGCAGAGAGCAAATGTTTAATTTCAATATTATATCAGATTGTATAAAAAAATAGTTCATTTACATTACTAACTTAATTAATACATTTATATATTATTTAAATAAATACATATAGCCTGTTAGAATATGAAATTATTTATTCTTTAAAGAAGGCAATTGCAGCAAGCAACGTTGGAACCGCACGAGTAGCAGACGGCCGAGCGGCTAGCGCGCGGTTCGTTTCATTTTAGTGCTATCTTAATCCTAATAGCGGGCACTCGATTTTCTCAACGGTTTCTTATGTAAAAAATGACAAGGAACACGATGGTGCAAAAATTAAAAAAAAAATATCGTTTTTTGAGATATCGTCGATTTTTTGAAAAAATTGTTTATAACAATGGCATAAATAAATGATTTCGTATTTTATTATTTACATTTTAAAAGTGAAACTCTTTCCGCGTCTTTTATAAAAATAATCATGTCCATATCTTTATTAGTCTCCGAGAAATCGAATTAATAAAAAAAAGTCCAATATTTTTTCAACAGTTGATAAGTCGGCCCCTTATCAATATTTTGATCTAAAACTCTGCACAGATGTTGACCTCTGTATAGATAACAAGTCTACCAACTTTGAACAAAATTGGTGATTTGAAGTTTTAAACTGTTTGAAATAGCCATATAATTCCTAACTACAAAAACTCACTGAAATGGTTTTTTATCTTTTCAGACAATCAAATAGACGAATTTTTTAAATATTCGATGCAGTAACGTAAGACTGAAGCCATTTGATGCACGTTATATCGATCTTGAAGTTTTCAATGATTGTTTCGAGTTCCACTAATTTTGTTGTTTGAATAATGGCATTTAAATTACTGCTCGATCTTGTGAGAAATAGTTCATGCTTCATGTTTACCAATACTTTGCGGTAATCTTCAGCAAGTCCGAGAATGAAGTTTAAAGGAATAGTGACATCGAAATATCCATCCTCGTTGATTATTTTCTGATCATTTTTTGTTATCTATCCATTGGTTGTTAGAGAAACTTTTTGCATTTATTGATTGCTATCGTATTAAGCTCATACCTAATTTTCTCAAACAAGTAATAGATGACGTTGTTCACAAATAGAGTATTCGTTAAGACTGCATTCTTTTCATCATACAATCTACCACAAATATGCAATGAGTTACAAGATGGTAAAAGACACAAGTCTTGATGTTGGAGTAATATACGAATTTTATCGCTATGTTTGAAAGATGTTTTGGTGTATGGTTGATGAGTATGAATCTCATAATAAGCCAAGGATTCATCAAAGGCGGTAAGTGACTGTATTTCTAGAACTTTCTCCATCATTTCGTTGAAAGCAGCAAAAATTAATGCAAGTTACTTTCAACCAGAAATTACTTTTAAGCCGAGACATTTTAGGAACTTTATGCTTTGATGTGTCAATGCTTTCGCTTTCCGATGACGATTGACAATCGGAATTCGCCGTGTTGTCGCTTTTACTTTCAATGGACGACTGATGGTTGGTTTGTATATTTTATTGCTTATATAGCTGCCACTACTGTTTAAATTGTAAACGATTCCCATCACGTACGTTTCAGATGTAATCTAATTGTTATCACTTCATCTCGAAAGTTTATTAAATTTCTGTCTTGGTCGACGATAAGTAATTGCAGATTATCTATGCACATTACAGTAACTAGATGATAAATCATATTAGAAGGAACTTCGATAATTTTATATCCTAATTAATATATTATAAAAAAAGTTAAGTTAATATATTATAAAATATATATATATATAAATATCGTGAACCATATTTGCACCTGAGGTGTTACACTCAACTCTCAGTGCATTTACTTTGACAATTTTTACTGGAAGATTCGAATGATGAAAGTTATTTTTTTCTTGTTTATTTAGTGCAAATTCCAGTACTTGACCAATGGAATCTTGTGGACGGAAATCGTTATCTTCCGACCTTTTAATAACACAACGTAAAGTATTATTTTTTGATTTCAGACTCACTTTTATTTCAGACTCTAAAGTTTTATGAAGAAATTTATCAATATCTTCAGTTTCATCACTGCCCGTTGGTAAGATTACAGGTGGTTTGCCACCAACGTAAAATTTATTGTTATTTATATCCATATTGGGTATTGCGTTGAATCTCAAAAATTTTACTAAAGCCAAAACGTATCTTTCATTTTCTGATAGTTCAATATGTGGAAAATATTGCACTTCCAGTGGAGAAGAATTACCCGAGAGAGTAAATGTGAATAATTCTTCCATGACTGTCTAAATATAACTGATAACTTTTTACGGCGTCTTCAGTTATATAGCCTCTCACAAAAACTGCAAACAAAAATAACTACAATTGTAGGTATCGAAATCCTGATATCTTAATGGATTGCATTTGAACGCATCTACTCCGAGATATGTCATTAGATTAAGCGGAAGTCTAAGATCTCCACAATTTTCAAAATATGTGACATTATTTCTGATTTTCTAACAAGCAACCTAATGCGTGGCTGTTACGTTAACGTTATAGAGATTATGGTAATTATAGCTGATTCTCAATAATGTGGTCTAGACTTTGGTAAGAGATTTCTCATAAACATTCCTCATAAATTCGATATACTTAAAATTTCGGCATATCGAGTAAATTTACTTCAAAATTTATATATATATATATATTTTTTTTTTATAAAATTTTTTTTTTCGGTTTTTTTCAATTTTTTTTCTCACAGTCGGTACGCTAAAAAGATGAGAAACCACAAAAAAAAAATTTTTTCCACCCATTCAATAATACTACATAACAAGTATCGTAAATTACATAAAAAAAAAAATCTTTTTTTTTTCGACCTTGAAAAATAATTTAAACCGAAAAAAAAAATTTTTCGAAAAACCGAAAAGAAAATTATTGCAGTATTCTACGTGAGAAAACAAACATTTTTTCTCCTATAAAATTTTTTCGATTGTTACAATTTGACGGAGATAAAAAATGTTGAAAAAAACTGTCACTTCCAGGAAAAAATGCCCGTGCGCGCGTCATATTTGACGAAAATAAATTTTTGATGAGTGATTCAGATAGGGCTTGGTAATAGCTAAAAAATGGTGTACTTCAAATTTTCGTACGATTTTTTTTCCAAAATTGGCTAATTGTCAAAAATAATAAAAAAATTTCAGAATTTTCAATTTTGCATAATTGTTGCAAAATTTAAAAAAACAATCGATGGCAACCGTGAGTCATATCATTTGAAAGCTCTCCGAAAGACCTTTCAAACGCACCCACGCGCGTCTCTATACGTTAATTTCTACCAGAGATATAAAACTTTGAAGTTAGACTGATTTTGCCCGTGGGGGGGTAAAAGTGGCTGACCGGCACTGTATATATATATACATATATAGGGCATTCTTTCTCAAAAAGGCCACCGACTCTCTCCAAAAATCAGAAATCAAAGGCTCCCAAAAATTTGTGTACGGGCTTAAAATTTACCTTAATATATCTATTTTTTATTACTGAATGGCCTTTTCAAAAAACTCAAAATGGAGGCTGGTGCAAATTCAATAATACACCGATATCACTACGAAATAGCAGTTAAATGTTTTTAAAACTTGCAGGGGCCAAGAAAATACGAGGGTCGTTTGAAAAGTCCGTGCAAAAATAAAAACTGCTTGATTTTTTTAATAAATCTTTTTTATTTTTCAACATAGTCTCCTTTTAGGCTTATACACTTCATCCAACGCTGCTCTAGTTTGTTAATCCCTTCCAAATAATAGGATTTGTCCAAGCCTGTAGAATAGGCATTCGTTTCTGCAATCACCTCCTCGTTTGAATAAAATCTTTTCCCCGCCAGCCATTTTTTCATATTAGGGAACAAATAGTAGTCCGACGGAGCCAAGTCTGGAGAATAGGGGGGATGTGAAACGAGTTGGAACCCTATCTCCATCAGTTTTGCGGCCACAACTGCTGAGGCGCGAGCTGGCGCATTGTCGTAGTGGAAGAGGATCTTTTGTGGGCCAATCGTGGACGTTTCTTTAGCAATTCGGTTTTCAAACGAACCAATAACGATGAATAATATTCGCCTGTAATGGTTTTACCCTTTTCCAGATAGTCGATGAAGATTATTCCTTGCGAATCCCAAAAGACAGTCGCCATAACCTTCCCGGCCGAAGGAATTGTCTTCACCTTTTTCGAAGCAGATTCCCCCTTGGTAACCCATTGTTTAGACTGTTCTTTGGTCTCAGGAGTGTAGTGATGTATCCATGTTTCATCTACAGTGATGAAATGACGCTTAAAGTCTTGCGGATTTTGCTGGAACAGCTGCAAACCAATCTTGCAACACTTCACACAATCTCGTTTTTGGTCAATCGTGAGCAATCGCGGCACCCATCTAGCGGATAGCTTTTTCATGTCCAAATGTTGGTGCAAAATATTATGTACCCGTTCGCTCGAGATGCCTACAGTACTAGCAATCTCACGCACCTTCACTCTTCAGTCAGCCATCACCATATCATGGATTTTATCATTGATTTCTGAAGTGGTAACCTCAACAGGGCGTTCAGAACGTTCAGCGTCTTTTATTCGAATATAGCCACTCCGAAAATTTTGAAACCACTTATAAACCATTCTAATCGAAGGTGCACAATCACCATAATGTTTATCAAGCTTCTGTTTAATCTCCCGAGGCGTTTTGCCTTTGAAAAAGTAATGTTTAATCAATACACGAAATTCTTTTTCGTCCATTTTTTTACAACCACTCGATTTCTTTGATTGAAACGAATGTAAAACGCAAAGTAATTTGCCGATATGGCTGAAACTTGGTGTGTGCTCTTCCAAGATATGCCACTAACTGAAAATAATCTCGATACGCACTAGTAGCGCCATCTCTCTGACTTTGCACGGACTTTTCAATCGTATAGTTAAAAAGTTTATTTGCATGTATTTTTTCCCGCTAAATACGAACACACCGTTCGTTTTAGTCTATGAGGCCACCTTTCGTCCGTAACTTCAAAAAGTAGTCTAAAAATTCACTTTTACGTGGCTGAGACTCGAAGTAGTGTACAAAAAAAGCTCATTATCATTCTCCAGTGATTTTTAACAGAGGAATAGAATGCTGTTCTCGGTTCTAACCTTGCCTAAAAGCTAAATTTCAAGGTCATTTCAAGGGGAATTGTTTAAAGACAAGGTTAAATTATTTAAATTTTTCACTATTTCAGCTCCTTTTTTGACAGAAATGCCATGTTTATCTTCGTATTTCATTCTTCTATAGGAAGCTTTGTAATAGTAAAATATTCAATATCATAAAAAACGCGTTATAATCATGTTTTGAGGTTTTCGAACCCGAATCTCGTGTTTTTATAAAATCTCTATATGAATGTGTGTTTTATAGTTGAGATGAGTATAGCCTTACTTATAGTGGAATATAACATACAGATTCTATATTTCAAACATTATATTATGTATCTTGGAGCGATAAAACGATTTTAGAAAAGGTTTATCGTTAGTGGTATTTTCATGAAGATTATTTCGGATTTGAAAGAGTTATTCTTGTCTTAGAAGATTTTTGGAAATTATAAGATTTTTCATATTTTGCATCATTTTGGGAATAGTTCTTAAAAAATTATTTTGTTTTTGATTCTAAAGGATAAAATACCAAGCGTTTTTTGCATAAAATTCTACTCTTTTAGTAGCATTAGAAAATCGTTTAATAACTACCGTTTTTGGTTGTTAAATAGTAAACAAGTGGTTTTTTTAAATTTCGGGTACTACCGTTTAGAATCTTTTATTCAAGTGTCGTGTTGATTTATCATGGTCTACCTTATTATAAAAAAGAATTTGTACGTTTTGTTTTCGCAATGTTTGCTTGTTCAATGAAAAAGGTCTTCTTAATTCAGAATTGCTTCAGATGCTTTAGCTCATAGACTTGCTCGGTAAGTCTCTCTTTATAGCTCGTAAACCATCATCCACTTTTACCGTGTTCTGTTACGGAATAATGTCATTCCACTTCAATTCCAAAATCTTCTTTATGGTCGATGAGATGAGCGATCTGAAATCGGTTTTTGAAAAGTTACTTTGCACCATCTATGATGTATATCAATTTTTTAACATTTAAAATATTTTGTTTTTTATTTCTGAAATCAATTGCTTTTGAATTGTAAAGGCAGCAGAAGTATCGTGTTTTAAGCTATCTGAGAGGAAGATAGAACTTATATTTTTTTATTTAGAATTTTCTTTATAATAATAGATAATTGGAAATACTTCACATTGCTAATTGTTAAAGTGAAATGCTTGCGAAGTATCTTGAACTACAT